TCAAGCAATTTTGCGGCACCATGTAAGGAATAATATTTACTTTTCAATTCTTCCTTGCTTTTTCGTTCCATCGCCTTTCCCTTTCTCTAAAAAAGGTTTTCTATGTCTTTCATCCTACGGATAAAAAAATAGATTTTTCTCAGTGTCCAAGCATTGCCTTGCGGAGTATTGAGCCCGTCACATTGTTTAAATTGTTCGGTTATTTGCTGTGATATACCCCTATCCCGCTTTCCAAAGCCTTTCTACTCTCTTCCTACCGCCTTTGATTGTTTTGTAATATCTTCCAACCTTCTTTTTGGATACTCTCCGTGGTCTATCTTCATCTTTCCGCTTTCGGCAATGATGAGTAGCCTTTTTCGATTCCCAAGGAAACTTTTCTTCTTTGAACATCCGGGGGAAAGGAAACATATGAATACTGTTTTCTGTCCAATTTTCCCCCCGTTTGGGTCAACGTCCTCTTTCAGGTTCAAACAGACTTGGGCGATGTTATTCAGAGATTTTCCCTTCGTCTTGGAGCTGTTGAAATTTTTCACCCCAGCTCCTTGTATTTCCTCAAAGCCCTTTTCTTCGTCTAAGATTGAAGCACTCTTCTTTCTTCTTTCTTCTTCTTCTCCTTGGGCTGAATGATTGCCGGAGTTGTTTGGTGTTATTGACATTATTAACCCTCAGGCCGCAAGACTCCTAAAGCAGGATCCCTTTTTTTATTCTTCTGATATCCCCCCATCTCGCCATTCGTCTTAAGATGTCCTTTCTTGACTGATAATCCCTCCCGTTTCCATGCATTCACCGCGGCATCATGTTTTCCTTATTGCTTTTTTTGGCCAGTGTCCCTTTCACCCATTTATCGTACAAATATGTGTACACACCATGTCCAAACCTGGAATCCGGGTGTTGCGGGCCTATTTATCAAGCGAATTATTTTAAGGTCTAACAAGCAAATTGCAACCTGTCCCCCGGTGATTTCCCTGCCTAAAGTGGTTTTCCATCTTTTCGCTATCATATTGAGCATTTCCGTTGAATCCCCGTATTCCCCGCCCCTTGAGGACAAGATCGATCCGAGATTTGATGCCCAGTCAGAAAACCCGGGAGCCCCGGCTTCTTCAAGATTATTCATTTTATTTTTCCCTCCCTCATCCGGCGAGCGCGCAACTCGCTCCTCTCATCCCTTGCAGTTCCAAACCAAAAATCCGCTTTTTCTTCGTCTTTCTCAACGCCTATGCCAAGATCATAGCAACATCCCACCTTTAACATGGCAACGACATCGCCCTTCTTCTTCGCTTGCTCCTTCCATTTTTCGATGTCAGTCATAGTGCTCTATCGCTTTTTTCGCTCTTTACATACCAATATTTCGCTTTTTTTCAGGTCTCTCTCTCCACGCCCTCGCCATGAAGATATGCCCATGCCACTTCTTCCATAGCATCGATATTTTCCTCTTCGGCGAGCACCAGCAATATCGGAATCCGCTTTGCGTACCATTCTTGCGCTTTCTTTTTGCTTTTCTCCACGCCACCGGCGCCATATTCATACGCCGTTTGCCAACTGTTTCCATAGCCTCGTGATCGCCTTTATTGGCAAGCTCTATAAATTCTACAAGCCAATTTTCTAGCTCCTCCAATTCCGCGATGTCAGTCATCTTTTCCCCAATACTTCTTATGCCACTCCTTTGCTTTGTCCGGGTCTTTCTTCACGCCCAAGCCGTAAAGATATGCTACTTCCAGATCCGCCATAGCCTTGCGATCGTTATTATTCTCGGCACGCCCCAACAATATCGGTATCCGCTTTTCGTGCCACTCTTGCGCTTTGACCGGGTCTTTCTCCACGCCCCAGCCACAAAGATATGCTTCTGCCACGCTCCACATAGCCCCGGTATCGCCCTCTCTCGCTTGCTCCTCCAAGTACGCGATGTCAGTCACAGTGATCCTCGTCATCCTCTTGCTTATATTTTGCATACCATTCTTGCGCTTTCTCTTCGTCTATCTCCACGCCCAAGCCATACTCATATGCCCATGCCACTTGCCACATAGCGTCCGCATCGCCGGCTTCCGCTTGCTTCAACACTATCGGAAATCGCTTTGCGTACCATTCTTTCGCTTTGGCTTTGTCTCTCTTCACGCCCCAACCATACTCATATGACATTGCCAAGGACTCCATAGCCTTGGGATCGTCCGTTCTTGGCACGCTTTCCAATATCGGTATCCGCTTTTTTCGCGCCACTCTTCGCTTTCTCCGGGTCTATCTCCACGCCCTGTCCATGCTCATATGACATTACTAAATCCTCTATGCTTAAGGTATCGTCGTTCTTGGCACGCTCTAACCAAATCGCAAACCGCTTTTGCCGCCCATTCTTTCGCTTTTTTCTTCGTCCTGCACTACGCCCAAAAGCCTTCACTATATGCGTCCGCAACTTCCAACAATAGCTTCTGTTCTTCGGCTTTCCGCTCGCTTCAAAATGGCCGCAAACCACTTTGCCCGCCACTCCTTCGCTTTTGGCTTCGTCTCTCTTCACGCCCCAAAACCATTCTCATATGTGTCCGCAACTTCCCACATAGCATCGGGGTCCGCCGGCTTCCGCCCGCCTCAACAATCCTTCGAATTCAGTCATTTCTTGCTCGTATTTTCATTCAATCCGCTTGCTCCTTCGCTTTTTCCGCCCATTCAGCCGCTACACGATAGACATAAATATGCCAATTCCTCCATAGCCCCAACATCGCCGCCCTTGGCAAGATTCCGCAAGATTTCCCATTCGTTTTGCATTCCATTCTTTTGCTTCACGGGTATATGCCTGTGCCACTTCCCGCATAGCATTAGTATCGCCGACTGCCGCTCGCTTCTCGCAAGTCCGCCGATTCAGTCATTCCCCGCCCGTTCCTTGATTCCTGCCACTCAGCCCCTTTTTTTCAAAGATCCATAATCAAAACGCCCTTGGGCCGTAAACGATTGCTCTGCTACGTTTTTCCATAGGCCTTGGGTATCGTGGTTTTTACACGGGCTCCATACAATATCTAAAAACCGCTTTGATGACGCAACCATTTTGGCGGCTTTTCCCTTTGTCCTCCACTACGTTCCATCCGCAATAATATGCCTGCCAACTCGATCCATAGCATCGGTATCGCCGGCTTTAAACCCTCCATTCATGATCCTTTTTTGCTCTTGCTTTCCAAGCTCAAGCGCTTTCTTTTGGTCTTCTGGCACGGCCCCCCCCCCCCATTGCCATCACATAATGCCAATGGCAACTTGTTCAATGCCGCGGTCTCGGGCCGGTTCCGCTCGCTGCTCCATTGTCTGTATCCACTTTGATTCCCAATATTGCGCTTTGGCTATGTCTATCTCCGCGCCCCATCCACGACGATATGCCATTTGACAGTTCAAAACCGTGCTCTTTCCTCCCCGGCTATCGCGTTTTTTTTCCAATATCCGAAATCCGCTTTGCATCCCCACTCTTTCGCTTTGGCTTCGTCGGCTTCCCGCCACCGCCCCTGTACCTGCCAAGACGTAATAAACCTTGCCAATGCTACCATAGCACTGGTATCGCCGGCTTCTGCCAGTCCTCCAAGTCCGCGATGTCAGTCATCCCCCTTGCTCCTGCTTGGTTGCTCTTGCATACCACTCTTTCGCTTTTTCTTTTGTCTTTCTCCACGCCCTCGCCAAAAAGGTATGCATCTGCCACTTTTTCCATAGCATCGGGATCGTCGTTCTTGGCACGCTCTAACAATATCGAAAACCGCTTATCCCACCACTCTTTTCGCTTTCTCCGGGTCTTTCTCCATTCCGAAATTGCCATTGCGATATGCATATGCCACTTCCACCATAGCATCGGGGTCTTCGGATTCCCGCTTTGCTTAACAATATCACAAGCCGCCTTGCATACCACTCATTCGCTTTCTCCGGGTTCTTTCTCCACGCCCTCGCCATAGCCGTGACGATAATGCCAATTCATCCAACATGGCACTGGTATCTTCTTCTGCCGCCAGCCTCTCAATTTTCCGCTGCCGCCAGCCTCTTCAATTCCGCGATGTCAGTCATTCTCCTGCTCCTGCTTGGTTGCTCTTGCATCCCATTCGTCTGCTTTGGCTATGTCTCTCTTCACGCCCCATCCACAAAGATATGCCGCTCCCACACCACACATAGCGTCCGCATCGCCGGCTTCCGCTTGCTTCAACACTATCGGGAACCGCTTTTCAAACCAATATTTCGCTTTGGCTTTGTCTTTCTCCACGCCCTCGCCATGAAGATATGCCCATGCCAATTCAAACATGGCATCGGGGTCGCCGGCTTCCGCCCGGGCTTTCAGTCTCTCTATTTTAGTCACAGCTTCTCCAATTCCGCGAGCCACTCCTTCGCTTTGGCTTCGTCCGGCTCAACGCCCCAGCCCATAAAATATGCATATGCCAACTGATCCATAGCCTTGCGATCGCCATGATCGGCAAGCACAACCAATATCGGTATCCGCCTTTCCAACAACTCTTGGGCGATGGCTTCGTCTACCTCCACGCCGCCCCAGCCATTACGATATATCCCTGCCAATAGCCACATGGCATGGGGATCATCGGCTTCTGCTTGCTCCTCCAAGTCCGCGATGTCAACCATTCCGAAGATCCTTCCTTCCACATGGCGTATGATCCTTCGCCATTGCTTCCCAAAAAGCCGCTTTATTCAGGTTTTTCTCAACGCCATAGCCGTGACGATATGCATGTGCCAATTCCGGAAGAGCATCGACAACGCCATTCTCGGCTTGCTTTGACAATACCGCAAACCGCTTTTCAAGCCAAAATCGAGCCTTTTCCGGGTCTTGTTCTACGAACTCATAGTTTCACTACGATATGCATATCCCAATTCATCCATAGCCCTAGTATCGTCGGAGTTTGCCAACAGCTCCAAAGAAGACAGTATCTTTGAAAAAATCTCATCCGCTTTGGCTTCGTTTTTTCTCCACGCCATGTCCATAACGATAGTGCAACTGCCAAGTCATACATAAGGCCTCATAGAGCTGAAAATGTCAGTCATCCTCTTGCTCCTTTCTTTTTCTTCTTTACTGCCCGATCCCATTCCTTCAACCAATGTCGAGATTTCTCCAAGTCTATCTCTATCCCCCGACCGTGACGATATCCCACTGCCAAATCCAACATGGCCTCGGCATCACCGGCTTCCGCCCGTTTCTTCAGTAAGGATATGCGTTTTTCCGCCTCCTTCTTCTCTTTGACCGCCTCCTCTCGCGCTATTTCTGCCATTTGCGCCTCCGATGCCGACCTAAACTTTGCGATCCATTCACGCGCTTTTTCTTCGCTTTCCTCCACGCCTTTGCCAAAACGATATGCATGTGCCACTCGATCCATAGCATCAATATCGCCGTTTTCGGCAAGATACTCCAATATCAAGAACCGCTTTTCGTGCCACTCTTGCGCTTTGGCTCGGTCTTCCTCCACGCCTTTGCCAAAACGATATGCCCTTGCCACTTCTTCCATGGCGTTGTAATCTCCGGTCCACGCTTTCTTCTCCAGTTCCGCGATGTCAGTCATTTCTTATCCCTCTCAATCTTTCCCTCCAGTATTCGGCTTTCTTTAGGTCGACTTTCACTCCCTCGCCTTTTTTGTACACCGTTACCAACTGAGCCATGGCTTTTTTATTGCCGTTTTTCGCCAATTCTTTCAAATTCTTATTGCGATGATTGAAATAATCTTGAGTTGCCGCTTCGCTATACCAAAATTCAGCCATCGCCTCATTTTGAGCCACTCCCTCGCCGTGTTCATAGACATAACCCAGCTTCCACATGGAAGACGCATCGCGCTTTTCCATTGCTCGTTCTTTCAATATCGGTAAGTCCAATAAATACCATTCCTTGCTTTTGCCTGTATTGCTAACTACAATGTCATCCATAACCAATCTCCTGCTAAAAGCTTTCCCCGGGACCTAACCCCCCGGGGAAGGCGACTTTTATAAATTAGAATGCGATGGAAACTCCGACATTCGCACCGACGTTTTCCATAGATGCACTCGAGCTCAAAGAACCATAGACCATGACATTGTCTACCGGCTTCCCGGAAAGACCGATTGCCAAAGCCACATTCGATGCATTGTGGAATCCGACAGATCCGGAAATGGAATATTTATCTTCCTTGCCAAAAACATAATGGATACCTGACATGGCATTGTGAATTGCCGCGATGTCGCGCTGCTCGTTTTCCATGTCATCCAAGGATCTCCCGAATACGGCAACGGGGATCTCTCCGAATCCATACCTTTTGTTTTTGAGATCCCGGTAATGTGCAGCAGAATGATGATCCCCAACCTCTATGGCAGCGTTTATTCTTGAATCGTACCATTCTTCGTTTTTCACAACTGCCATGGCATTTCCGGAAACACCGACTGCCAAAACACCGCTTAATGCAATCATCTGTACTGTTTTCTTAATCGTCATATCTTTACTCCTTTAAGTGAAAAGTTCCGGACCCGAGAAACTCTCCCGAGTCCGGATAAGTCAACCGGTTGTTACCAACCGAATGAAACGCTAACGTTGCCGCCAAAGTTTTCCATAGAGGTCGTCGAGCTTATCGAACCCTGTGCCATCACGTTTTCCCTAGGCTTCAACGCAAAACCCATCGCAAACGCCGTATTTGATGAGTTATGGAAACCAACGGATCCTGACATGGAGAACTTGTCATCCTCACCGAAGACATAGTTAATCCCCGACAAGGCATTGTGGATGGCAGCGATCTCACGCTTTTCTTCCGCAAGCTCCTTCAAGGATTTTGTGATAGCTTCCCCGGAAACGGCAGCGGTATCTTCTTTCTTGTCCGCGGTCTCTTCCTTGTCTGCTACTTCTTCATCCTTGTTCAGCTTTTCTGCCAGCTTGTTGATGTCACTTTGCAAAGCGGCTACTGCCTCTTTCAGTCCGTTGATTTCTGCATCATCACCGGCTTCGGCAAGTTTGGCTTCGAGAGCGGCAAGTTTGGCTTCGAGAACAGCAAGTTCTTCTGCTCCTGCACCGTCACGACCGTTTGCACCGTCCTGACCTGCAGGTCCGCGCGCCCGGTTGCTCCGGTTTCACCACGATCGCCTTTATCGCCTTTCAAGCCGGTAAGACCTCTTTCACCCTGCGGTCCCTGCTCACCGGGACGACCGTCAAAGCCTTGAGGACCTCTTTCTCCGGTTTCACCTTGAGGTCCGGTAAGTCCCATCGGTCCCTGAATCCCTTGAGGTCCGGTAAGTCCCATCGGTCCGTCAAGACCATCTTCCCCGCGCGGCCCCATCGGCCCCATAGGTCCGACTGCACCGGGAAGACCGGGCGCACCGTCCTTACCATCGCGACCATCTTGACCGTTCATGCCGGGCTCACCGGGAGCACCTTGGATTCCCTGCTCGCCACGATCTCCTTTGTCGCCTTTAAGACCTGTCAGACCCCGCGCACCGGTATATCCGCGCGGTCCTCTATCACCCGGAAGACCATCGATGCCGTCTTTCACCATCGAGACCGTCGCGACCGTCAAGACCAGGGATGCCTCTTTCGCCCCGCTCGCCTTTTTCACCCTGCAAGCCGGTGAAGCCTCTTGGTCCCATCGGACCGACTGCACCGGGGAGACCGGGAGCGCCGTCTTTACCATCGAGACCGTCACGACCGTTCATGCCGGGAGCACCGGGAGCACCTTCCAGACCGGGGATACCCATTTCACCCTGCGGTCCTCTTGGTCCGATTGTCCCCTGCGGTCCTGCAGGTCCCTGTGGTCCCACTTTCAGTTGGATTCCGGCTATCTTATTTTCCAGTGCAACCTTATTACTTGCTATCTGTGTTTGAAGATTGAGATCCCTGCGACCCAACGAATCCGCTTTTTCGGAAATTTCTTTCTGGGCAGAAATTAAGTCATTGATCTTATCATTGAATCCATCGTGGGTCCTCTTATTTTGAGCAAATTCAAAATCATGCTCACGAAGTTTCCCGACATTTTTTCTTTGCTGGCCACCAAAGGCGCCGATGATATTTGCGGCACTATCCGCCCTGCTCTCAAGATCAACGATCTTCTCCGAGTTGATATTGACCTGAGTCTGAATATCTTTCGGCTTTACGAAAACACGTTTCCCGAAAAGATTCACACGCTCGACTCGGAGATCCGGATTCGTATCGCCTCTTCTTTTTTGAAGTTGATCCCCTATATGTTGCCCTTGTTCATTATTCAGGCCCTGATGTTCGTAAACGGTATCGGTAGCCAAGGCAACACTCGATACACCTGTAGCCAAAATGCCACTCAGTGCAAGCATTTTCATGGTTTTACTCATAATAATATTCCTTATTTAAATTGAAATTATAAACGACTTATTGCTTCCGGATCATCAATGGTTCGATAATAAGAATGCCATTGCATCTCTACAAAATAATCAAACCCTTTCTGATTCTCCAGAACCTTTACTTCCAAAGGTACTCTATGCTCTATCTTTAAACCAACCCTCCTTCTTTCCGATATCATACGATCCTTATTTTCCCAATCGACACGCGGCATGCATACCATGTCATCGTCGTCGAAAGTATCCTGCAAAACGACAAGCAAGACTAAAATAGCCATGCACATAACAAGAATTCGGTTTCCGTATGCTATACGCATACCTAACTTCCTTGCGTCTGCCTTCATTTCTTCTGCTGTCTTGATTTTTTCCTTGCTCGACATTTTAATTATCCTTTTAATTTGAAATAGTCATAAATTATTTTATAAAATGAATTATTTTCCCTAAAATAACCGGCAATTATTATTTTTCAAATAAATAATGCATGAAAAATATTTTTTATTTTTTTATGTGGCTTAATTGTCACTATTTTGTATGTCTTCATACTCCTTTCCCGCAATTTCAGGATCATCCAAGTAATCGACAATGTCTCTTAAACGCTCCAAGCTCTCTTCTGTCAAATCCTCGGGATGCCCCAGATTGTCGATGGTATTTATCAGCTCTTTGAGATTCATATGAAACAATTTTCCTTTTGCCGTTAAAATCAATCTGAGCTCCATCGCCATTATTGTTACATGCTGGTAGTAGATTTCTTTGAAATCATTTTCATCGCCGGAATCCCCGTAAATTTTCCTTTTTCTGGCTACGCGATGCCATTTCCCCGAAATATATACGACCGTGTGTTCCGGAAAATGCAACTCCCCGTTCTCTATCCTCGCTATGATTTTATCGTTTATCAATGTAACATCGACCTTTTCCGTTTTATCAGCTTCTCTCAATATGAGAGTGAATCCTGCTCTCTTTCTCTCCTCTTTTGTCTCCCAGGTCTTTATCTCACTGCCAACATACCCTATAAATGTACAAGCGTTTAATGATCGATACATGAAAACCTCTTATGGAAAATAATATGGAACACAAAAAAAATACGAAATACAATTACCTTACCGACCAAGTCGTGAGAACTCTCCCACAAACACAAGATGCGGTCTTGACCGGCTTCCGCCGGGAAGCGATGGTCGAGTTCCTTAAAGCCCGACCGGAAGAAGAGCGGATCGACGATCTTAAAAACATGCAATTCTCTCAAATTGCCGCCATACACAACGTCGTCATGGCCCTTTTTGACAAAACGACAAAAGATCTCGCTTTCTCAAGCCCGCAAGATATCGCAAAACTGACCAAAAGCGTTAATGAGCTCCATAAAACATTTTTGCAATCATGCGATGCTTACAGCGGAAACAAACAACTCCTTCCTTCCATTGAGGCTCATCAGCCTATCCCGCCGCCCTATGAAGATCCGGAGATGCTCAAGGTCCCTATCTCCTTCCCCAAGAAGAAAGAAGAAGTTAAAATTCATCTTCGCTCTTCTCCTCCTCGGCAACAGAATGCTCGGGCTCGGAAATCTCCTGATTGACCTCAACAGGAACAACTTCCTCAATGGCCGTCTTTCCCGGCAAGAACTTCTTTAGTTCCCGATATCCTTCGCCCTTCTTATAAGCAATCTTGCTATCCATGCCATATCTGTTCTTTGCGATGTGTGCAGGTGTTTCCGTTGTGTACATGCATATCTTGCTCGTATTTCCCCCGCCCTTTGTCTGTGTGGAAAAATCCGGAGCGATGAAAAGGATCACATCCATTTGTAGCTCGATCAGGTTCACCGCCTTGTGATGAATGTCCAAGGTATGACGATCATAAGAAACATTGAACGGGTCCTCGAACTTCTCGACCCTCGAATGACCGATGAGGATAACGGTAACGCCCCTATCATCCCTGAGACGGTTTATCCCCCTAATAAAGTCATTCCAATATTTCAGCGCAAACTTGTACCCCGCTCCATAGGGGAAAGCCTCGATCGATGTTTTCCTCTCATTGGGATTAAGGCAGTTATCCGCGTCTTTCTTCAAGACTTCATTAAAGAACATTTGCTGGACAGTCGTTATCGAATCAATCACTACGGTTTTGAAAGGGTGGTCTTCCGTTATAAGTGATCGTAAGGTTTGACGGAGGCCTTGCCAGTCACCGACCAGCCGGGCTTTCAGTGTTAACCCTTTCGGAGCGCTCTTCTCGGTTAATATGAAAAACGGCTCGG